TTAAGCTGTTCGTAGATTTCACCCTGGAATTTGAAGTACGTCTGCATGCATAGTTCCATGAGTTCGCAAATGGCAGCTGGTTTCGTTGGTGAATTTGGTGGGTGCTCAGTTATTAGAATTAAATCATGTTTTATAGAATGTAATAGTCCATATGATTGGTTGAACGAGCATCCTCTAATCACGTAACCGTTCGCACCGACGTATCGCATGTGCTAACTAGGATGTCATGTTCGCCCGGTGTACCATTGGTCAAGCTTCCTGAACGGTGATCGGATGACATGAAACTGCCCCTAGTCGTGTATGGATTGCGGTCACGGAAGTCTGGATCACCAAAACTCTCTTCCCTCAACAGTGCCTTGTCAATTTGGCTTGCCTGACGGCTAGACCTGCGGACTGCAATCGTTGGCTCCGCATGTTACTGGCAGTGTCCTTGTATTTCCATTAGTTGTTTCTGCACACCTGACTGATGCGGCTCCGTCGGTTTTGCTGATGAGGTATGCAACTGACTGTCGCCCTCGCTTCTCTCTTGATGCCACTGGTCCGTGGATGGTTTGAAGTGGATTTGGTCCATATGTCGCTTGTGCACAGTAGCATCATTCAAGTCGGTAATTTCCACCATGGCTTGACCCAGCTGCCGTGTGACTGTACCAGACGCGGCTCGCAAGTCATTACCACGGAAGTATACGACGTGACTGGAATCGGGAAGCTGTATGGAGGATCGCAAGCGTCTGGATTTAAAAAGCATTTCTGGGCTTTCCTTGGTGGTCGTATGTGTTGCGTTTCGGTATTGGAGTAGGAAGTTATTCACCAACGTTTCCAACTCATGTAGCGTCTTAGGATTGGCAGACGCAATTGCACTCTTGACAGTTTTGACTAGATTCTCTGCCGCTTCGTTTGAACAGGGGTGAAGAGGCGCAGTTTGAAGGTGTCGGCAACGGATACTGTCCATCCAAAACTTCATTTTGGTCGCACAGAACTGAGATCCATTGTCCGTCACAAGCACTTGTGGAATCCCTTCGTGACTAAAACATTTCCGTAGAACTTGTATCACAAATGATGTGGTAGGCGTAGTCGTAAAGAATACCTCTGGTCATTTGGAGTATGAATTGATCAGAACAAGGGCGTAGTACCGGTTCAGAAATGGACCACAGAAATTCAAATGAACCCTTTGCCATGGTATACAACTTTCCGAACATGGTGTCCAGTTTTTCGGTCTTGTTTGTAATTTATGTAAACATGACTCACAGTTCTTGGTTGTTGCGTAAATGTCTGTGTCCAACTCCGGCCACCAACACATCTGTCGAGCCAATGATTTCATCTTCTCCATCCCCGAATGTCCTTTATGCAATTTTTTAGTACCGTCTTCCGTAATGGCGGTGGGATCACCAATGCGACACAATACACCATCCAATTGTACTGGCAACTCCTCTCGGTGAGTAAAGAATTGAGGATACTTTCTCTTTACCTCCGGTGACCACCCGTTCTTGATTGCTGAGAGTATGGTCGATTAGTACTAATTGGTGGA